GGGTTGCCCAGTCGATACACCTCTTCCACTTCACTCTCCTCTCTTCCGGGTTTTGCAACGTTGCTAAGCCTTTGGCGAACTGTAGGTCGAAACCGTCGGACACTACGGGGTCTGCCCACGCCGTATGCTGTTCAAACAGTCACTGTGGGTTTCGGAGCTGATTGCGTTCGGGGTTGACTACAACCGTCTGTCAAAACGACGGACACTACGGAGTCTACCCACGACGCAGATAGATTCTAGCGGTAAACTACGGGGTCCTAGAGATTTTAGCAGGTTGGCTCCTCCTCCATTACTGCTCAAGTTTCAAGTCTCAAGTCTCGTGCAGACTTATCACCTTCTTTAACTTTTTGATCTTTCACTAAAGCTTTTATTTGGTTTTGGATTAGTCTAGCTTGGTCTACGACTACCACTGTTGAATTTCACCAGGCAAAATTGGCTAGCAACGATGGTGGGTGATTTCCTTGCGCTTTTTAATCGTTGAGCGAGTTTTTCTTTCAGCGCAATTTCACCCCAGCATGGCCCCCTTTACACCACCTACAAATGACCTCCCAATCCTAATGTCAGCGGCATCTGGCGGTGAGTAGCGGTACTTCGTCCAGTCCGTGGTGGGCAGTGTTTGCTCCTTTCCTGGCATTCATAACATTTAAACCGAAACACTAACACTCGCGACAATCTCAACAATCTCGGACAGACAGACTGCAAACAACCTAACTGAAGTTCTCGGAACATCATTTAAGTTCTTGCAATTTTCCTAACAATTATGGAACTTCCAACTTTTTTGAAGTTTTTGGGACTTTGTTCTTGGAACACCTGTAAAGTTCCTGCGATTTTTTAAAGTTAGTCAAGCGGCCCTGAAGTTATCTAAATTTTCCAGAAGTTTTCGGAGCTTCCCTAAAGGTATCACTTTTTTCGGATGTCCATTGAACTGCTCTGAAGTTCTTTGAACTTTCCCGAAGCTTGCTTACCTTTTTCTAAGTATTCCTAAGTACATGAAGATTCCAGGAGATTCTCAGTGTTCTTGTTAAGTGTATACAATGTTCTGGCAGTTAATGGAACTGTCATGAAGTTCGCTGATCATCATCTAAGTTCTGTTATTTAATGTAATGAAACTACCCTGAAGCTTTCGGAACTTACCCAACTAACTTCCCCAAAGTTCTGGACTTTCATCAGAACTTCTCTGAATATTTAGGGTAGTTCTTAAAAATCTTGTAACATCCCTGAAGTTGTAGATCTTCTTGAAGTATTTGAAATAGCTCTAATAACATTTGTAACATAAGTCCTGGGAAAAAATCACAAGCATGCCATTTGAAATCAAACAATTTAAATTTAAAATCTTCTTCAGGGTATTTTATTCTATTTATAAACTGTTGAAAAATGCATTTACAGTACACTCAATGGACCATTATCGTCGATTTTTCACAGTGTGCACCGAAATTGTTGAATCAGGGTTTGGACGGTGTCTTTGACGATTTCTTTTAAATTTTGCTTGATTCGATCAACCAATTTTTGCTCAATTTGAGCTTCCCAGCCGTTGTCGTACATCGTAGCCTTGAGTACTCTCGATAAGACGAACCTGAGGCACGTTTGATGGATTGTCCTTTTTCGGTACAAATGGTATTTTTTGCTCAGTTCCAAAATGATGCATTTTCCATTCGCAAAAGGTTCACGACGAAGTGCACGGCAACAGTTTGGTATTTTTCGAGTTGTTGCTGTGTATATTTTGGAGCACGATGACGTTTCCAATAGATTGCGTTGTATTTTGTTTTAATCCGATGGATTGTCATGTTTGAAACATGAAATTTTCGTGCTAATTTGCATGTTGACAACATTTTTTTGGTTGTTTTGGCACTCCATTTTGTTAGGCGATCGCATTTCTTTTTATTTTCCTGGCGTAGGTAGCATTAGTACTTAGTGTAAAGTGTTCTAGTTTTTGACCTCAGTGGCCCTATGCTAAATTTCCGTTTATTCAGTATTTACCAAATTATTTAAAATTTGATTTAGGCCGAAGGGTAAAAAACTGGAGCAAAAACTGAGGCATCCGAGCCTCTGATATTTACATCTAGACGCCGATCATCCAGCGTTGGAAGCATTCATCAATCGATCAGTTCCTGTTCTCTATGAAAACATCGTTGATGTACAAAGCCTGGACTTTCGTAGAACTGACTACGTCACGTTGAATCACTCACTGGCTCAGGTAGATTGGCAGTCGCTTGACTTGTGTTCATCCATTGATGAAGTCGTTAACTATTTCGACGAAGTTGTTAGCCGATTAATAATGGATTGTGTGCCTCTGAGGAGACCTGCTCCAAAAGCTGCATGGTCCAATGCTCGATTACAACACCTGAAGCGTGTGAGATCGAAGGCTCTTCGAAAATACAGCCAGTCTCATAATCCATTCACCAAGCGATTATTTTCGTTGGCAAGTAATTGCTACCGAATGTACAACCGTTTTCTACACAAGAAGTACTCAAGACGTATGCAGACCAATCTCCGGCGTAATCCTAAGCTATTCTGGACGTTTGTGAAGACAAAAAGGAAAGAGGATGGGCTACCGGTTGAGATTCATCTAAGCGATAAAAGAGCCAACACTTCTTTAGAGAAATGTAACCTCCTGGCTGAGCATTTCAAGAGTGTTTTCAACGATTCAACGGCATCGTTAAGCCAAGTTGCTGAAGGGATCAGAGATACTCCCAGTGACGCGTTTAGCTTTGATATTTTCACGGTCACATTGGACCTCGTTGACTCTGCCATCCAGAAGCTGAAATTCTCGAACGCTGTTGGGCCTGACGGCATTCCATCGTCCATACTCAAAAGATGCTCAACAGAGCTTTCCTCTCCGCTTTCAAAGCTGTTCAATATTTCGTTACAACGAGGTATATTTCCCTCTCGTTGAAAATCTTCGTTCATGTTCCCGATTTTCAAGAAAGGAGACAAACAAAATGTGGAGAATTTCCGAGGAATTACTTCACTTTGTGCCTGCTCGAAAGTATCCGAGATAATCATCAACGACGCTTTATTTGCCAGCTGTAGAAACTACATTTCTCCTGACCAACATGGTTTCCACCCCAAACGTTCGGTCTCAACAAACCTCGCTCCTTTCATTTCCCTATGCCTACGGAATATGGAGGCAGGGGCACCGGTGGACGTCGTATACACGGATCTCAAGGCTGCTTTCGACCGGGTTGATCATGCCATTCTAATTGCCAAACTCGAGAAGCTTGGTTTTTCTCATGGACTCACTCGTTGGTTTGAATCGTATCTTACCAATCGAGAGCTTTGTGTGAAAATCGGGTCTGATCAATCGGATTATTTTTCAAACAACTCAGGCGTTCCTCAAGGCAGCAATTTGGGACCGCTGCTATTCGCCATATTCATTAACGAAATCGGTTTGATACTTCCAACTGGCTGCTGGTAATTCTACGCAGACGATGTCAAGATATACGTGGTTGTGCGATTCTTCACTGACTGCCTGCGGTTGCAGCACCTGATCGATAATTTCGAAGAGTGGTGCTCTAGGAATTTTCTCACGTTGAGTGTTCAAAAATGCAATATCATCACTTTCCATCGCAAGCTAAAACCTATTGCATTCAATTATACGATCGATAACCAACCTCTGCAGCGTGTGGACAACGTTCGTGATCTAGGAATTACACTTGATTCTGCGTTGACATTTAAGTTACATTACACGGATATCATAGCCAAAGCTAACAGGCAACTCGGATTCATCTTTAAGATCTCTGATGAGTTTCGGGATCCTACCTGCCTGACAGCTCTATATTGTTCTCTAGTGCGATCGATCTTGGAATTTGGTGTAGTAGTATGGTGTTCGTATGAAACAGTTTGGATAGCGAGGATCGAGTCTGTTAAGAGGAAATTCGTTCGTCACGCTCTTCGCCACCTTCCTTGGTACGATCCTACGAACCTTCCACCCTACGAAGATCGTTGCCAACTACTGGGTTTTGAAACTCTTGAACGTAGGCGGAAGATTAACCAGGCAGTTTTTGCAGCAAAAGTGCTGATAAGCGAAATCGACTCTCCCGGGATTTTGGCTGAATTCGAAATCTATGCACCTGAACGAGTTCTACGATCGAGAAGTTTCCTGCATCTCGGACCCCGTGCAGCTAATTACGGATTACATGATCCAATACGGTTCATGTCTGCCCGTTTCAATGAATTCTATGTTTTTTTTTCGATTTCAACTGCACAGTGGTAACATTTCGTCAACGGATTCAACGTAGTCTGCTGGATCGGTGACAATACGGTTCGACACATGCAACTGCTTTCAATCAGCAAATTGTTGCAAGATGGTGAGTAGCTGTCCATTAATGTACATCTGATGAATTTTGCTACCTGTTTCCTTTTTTGTTCCCGATCAACTTGATGTGTTTTTCTGTCCTTTTTATATTGTTCCTTGTATTTTGAAAAGATATGGGGTTTTACCGCTTATTTGCGCAAATATTTGCCAAATAGGCTTTTCCCCATCAATCTTCATTTAGACAACAAAAGTCCGATGAAGAGAATAATAAATAAATAAACTAGAACACTTACCCTATGTTTGTAACCAAATTCAAATCTCTCAATTAAATGATCACTCAATGCTTATGGTAAATGAAAATTAGAATATCTCCAACCTCCTTTTCCAAACCATTTACATTTAAATATTCACTCACTGGCACGAACACTCCGGTCGTTGTAAGCAAATCACTTTCAGACACATTCTTCGTACTCGAACCTATCGCAACGCATCTGGGAAAATATAGAAACACCGCCAAAGCGTATCTCTAGTGTACCAACACCGATGATTTATTATAGGCACCCTTTTTCTGTATATTGTGTTAGGCGCTTCTTTCCATAATTTCGCCTAGCCTTTTCCACGCTCGCACCCTCGATTGTCTTCAACGGAACAGCGAAATTAACTCTATATAACTAGAGCTAACAGTAATTTAGGTAAATCTGAAAATATCGCTGATCATCAATGACTACCTATATGTGCTACTCACCCGAAAAACAGACAATCAGATTTTGATGCCTATACACTTCCGAAAACACCGTGGAGAATCTTCTCCGAAGCTGGCCTCCCAATAACAACAACAACAACGAAAACACGCGACACTCTCCTACTGCTCTGGTTCTCCTTGCTTCACCACTGCGCCTCCACACGTCCCGTGTAGTCCAAGGATAATATTGACGTCGTCGTCGTCGTCGTTCGACTCTCACGGGTGATGAAATATTTCAAACTATGTACAATACAACACGCACTCTGGGTAGCACTCGGCACCACTACCACTCCGGAGTCACGAGCCACACACACATACACTGTGACGAGCGACCACCACTGGATGAAGGAGGCGTCGGGTGACGATGAATTTTCCTCCCCACAAGAGCCGAAGCGGCGAGAGAACACGGGGTGACACGCGATAGGCAGAGGGTGGGAATTTTCTTCGCTGTTTTTTCCAGCACACACAGAGAAAGGGCCAGGTAGGAGCACTAACTTGTACAAATTTTCAACTTTCCTCTGGGGAATCTCCGTACGGTAATGGAATTGTCAACTAACTAGATAAACTATTAGCACACTACATCAACTGCAAGTTTCAACACTTTGTCCTAGGGAAACACTACCAAAACAACGCGAAATAAGAACGGGAAACTCCACTCGATTTAACTCGGTAACTGGGAAAAACTGGGCTAAAAACGGAGCTGTCACTCTTCGGTACACAATTCCTGACCGAGATCCATTTCACACAAGTCAGTCGTCGTGGTCGAGAATAGGTCTCACCGTGCTAGGTGGTGGGTAGCAACGATGTGTTCGAGAGTTTCGAGAGAACGTGCTCCCTCTCTCTCTCTCTCTCAGCCAGCAGGTCACTCATCGCGGCGGAGTCTTGTCAACATTGCTACCTACCGACCTACCAACAATAAGAGAGCTGTCTCTCTGGTGAGGCAGTGGAGCACATGTGGTCCGGGAACTCAGCGTTTATTGTTTTGGGGGAAAAGCACATTATTTCACTTGAATCCTTGTTTTTTCCTTGTTAGGCTGATTCGATGGGTGCCACCGGAGAGCGAGCGAACGAAAAGAGTGGCTGAGCACGTGTCGTGTATGGGTGAGCGACCGGCACGGCAAATCGGACGAGTTTTGATTATTATGGGTGGGTAGCAGAGGCGATCATGTTGCGAGTGTTTTCGGCAAAGAATTGAAATTAGATGCGGGTTAAAAAGCAATTCAGGGAAACTTACTGAGAACAATTGGCTGAAACTTCTGGAATAAATGTTGGCTTTACTAGAAGCGATTCCTACGGAGGTTCAAGCGTTTCCACTAAGAATTAACATTTGATAGGGGAGTATTAGACACCTCAAGCCTCATTTATTCATACCATTTGGAATAAGACAGTCCTTTTAAAGGATTTATTTGATTTGTCCAACAACATTATGCTTTGATTGTTCAGGGGATAAAGCCCTTTACGTTGAAGGGCAGATAAGTTCATAATTCATCCACTACGAGGCGCAAGTGTACATGTGCACTTGCTGTCTATGATATATCACTAGATCCAGGTTATCTAAGTAGCTGCTGTCTTCTGTAAAGTTGTTCAGGTGACCAAGTTCTTTTGGATGGTAAACATATTTGTTCAGATTTCTCCAACAGATCAGCCCTAGTTTGCATGTTAGCATCCTGTATAAGCTATATTTTGAGAACTTGTCCATATAAAGAGCTGCTGTCTTGGACAAAAATTAATGCCATCCTCAAACTCAGCACTTCAGCAGAGACATATTTGACAGAATTGCCTTATCGCAAAATAATAGGTCCGTATTTTTAATAATGTCATTAGGGTGACCATTTTCATGGTAGGGTGGTCAATAAAATCTATTTTTTAAATGACCTTTTTAAAAAAATCATAACTTTCGAACCACTGGGCCAATTTGAAAGATCAATGTATCAAATTAAAAGAAATAAAAAATAAAACGATAAAAAATTGGATTTTGTATTGTATTGAAAAACATTTATTGCATTTGATTTTTCTTTTTATTGTTTTCGTGGTTTGTAGACAGAGGGCGCAATATGTGTTTATATTTTTCCTTGAAAATTTAGGCTTTTTTACACAACATATAAAAAAATCAGCGATGTGTTTTTTTTTTTCGTTTTTAAGTTATGTTTTTTGAAGGTATCAAGTTTTGGGTTTTCGCTCAATACTCCTATGAAAAAGCTATGAACTATTTTAAAAAAGTCACCTTTAAAAAAAACGATTTTTTGGACCACCCTAACATGGAAATAGTCACCTTAATGACAAAATAAAATAAAAACACGGGTCTAATATTTTTCGATAAGTAACAAAACCCCTCCCCTGCTGGGGAGAGAGGTAATCACGCTTACCACTACACCACCGGCGCAGCTAATATTGTGCAATAGATTCATATTCTCCTATCAGGCTATCAAAATATGTGTAGTGCATTGCAGATTTGTTGAGTAAAGTTAAGCTTAACTAAGTTTTGTTCAGTCTTTAGTTCAGCTAACATATTGAGGTTGAATTATGGGGATACAATTCGCTTTATGAACTACTAATCAACCATATATTCAGCTGTGTACACATTAAATCAACAAATAATCAGCTTCTGTTCTTACTGTTTAAATTGTTACTTGGGTAACTTCTTAAGAAGAACATGACCTTTCTTTATCTTAAAATATTTGCTATGGATTTGGAAAGAAAAATCTGCCTACAACATATTGCTGATACAGTTCTTACTACCAGCAATGGCAGAAACATTGAGTGGATCCGTTGGCATACGAAGGGATGCAGAATAAAAAGCAACTGGAGAAACAAAATCACGAACTCAATAAAAGCTAAAATAAAATTAAAAAATAATAGTCCCTCGGCTCCGTTAAGCTCTAAGAGACACTGAGCCTATCAAATAAAAACCATAGAAAAAAATCATGATTTATGGACATCAAAATGGTAAAATTCAAAATATCCAAAAATTCCGAATTCCGAAGTCTCTAATCTAATTTTCTAAAATCGAAGATCTATTAAAAGCATTCGTCAAATACTGCATTTTTCTCTATTTTCAAAAACAAGAAAGCTAGTTTTTTTTATATCAATTGATTTGGGGACCATTTTATTTTAAAAGTGGTCCAAAGAAGGAAATTTTTATGAAAAAAAAAACACTTCACCGGAGACATCAAACGTCCAAAATAAAAAATAAAATCAGTAGACGTTTGTCTTGCTAAATTCCCATCCTGGACCACAGTGCAATGGAGCTACGGATGTCACCTACAGGGAACTATGTCCAATATGTGCGAGTGCACGATTTGTCACCGGAATTTCCTGACTGAGATCCAGCGTTGGTGCTGGAGAAATACGGGAAAGTTTCCAAGTAACCAACAAGCTGAATAAGTGGCACTTTCTGCCTTGTACGCTGCTTGTAAGTTTGTCATCCGGGAGAAATTCCCTCTGAAGTTGCGCATAGACATATATACAGGTTCAAGCTGTATACATGGACATGAAAAAGGAGAAGATTAAGATTGTATCCACAACAATCCAGACCCATCAAAACTTAAGTAAAACACAAATTCCTATTTTACGAGCCACCGTTCGAACAGAGAGTTTCGGGTTTTCCTACAATATCCTCTTCACCTTTCGATCCATGACAGGATCACGTCCATTATTTTTATCACTTCTCGGTTTCCTCTCGACCATCAAACGTTCCGAAAATGATTTGAGCACACCTTGAATAGTGGAATTAGGTAAATTAATTTTTTGCAAGTTCCCGTATTGACAAGTCAGGATTTGCATTACGTCCATACAAAATCTGCTCGCGCACGTGTTTTTCATTCATCGCCATCTTGAACACTAAACATGGAATGTAATGCAATATTTCAAAAGTTACAGTGATTTTTAGGTGCCCGGATTTATGTGGATACATACCTTAATTTCCTAAATCGGAAAAGGAATGTCTATTTACGACGGGGATAAAAACAAATGCTTCTTGTGCATGTCGGAAAGGCACCAAATGAATTCCTGCCCCAAGTGTGATGGTAAAATAACAGTATGAGGAACAAAGAGCTAGAAGTTCATACGCGGTTTTGAGGTAATGAATATGGACGTGGCGATCACTGAGGCCTCAGGGGACAAAGAAGAAGAATAATCAAGGGAAACCGAAGCTAATGACAAGAAGTATTACCATAGAGGTAACTCTAAGACCAGAGGGTCAAGAAGAAACGTGCTCAACTGTTTGGCTCAGCTCTGGTGCTCTCTTCGGTCCCAAGCTAATCGATGCACCCCTCGAAATATAGGAAAATCAACGAACCCCACATTTTATCTGTCAAACTTTCATAGCGAATCAAAACAAACATAGTGTAGTGCTAGAATTTTGACTACAATGGGGTACGTTAATCGAATTGCTTGAGATCAATAGGATAGTCAAGTAGTGAGCCAATTTAAAATCGATAGTTGCCACCGGTTGGTATTACTACAAGTTCGGATTCGTGACCTACAGGAAGAAGCAACAGATAACAACATGATGAACAACAGACCAAGCGTGGGGTAAGAGACAGAAAGAGAGAAATTATTTACTTGTAAGGAAAACAAGCAGAAACATACAAAAAGTCACCTAGAAGAACTCCTCGCGAGCCCCTTAGGTACGAAAACAATCGACACTGCATAAGAAATTTATAATAGTTTAACAAATGGATGGATGGATGGATGGATGGAATTAATAAAAGTCTACTCAAGTGTCGAAAACTGCATCACTTCCTTCCTAACCCCTCAAATGTAATTTTATATCTAGTCCTTCGACTTTGTAGAGTTATCGAAGACAGTTGAACCAACAATCAATACGAAACTAACGATTTTAAATTGGCTCACTACTTGACTGGCCTATTGGTCCCAAGCAAATCGATTAACGTTACCCATTACAGTCAAAATTCTAGTACCACACTATGTTTGTTTTGATTCGCTATGAAAGTTTGACAGATAAAATGAGGGGTTATTGGATTTTCCTATGTTTCGAGGGGTGATTCGATTAGCTTGGGACCGAAGATAGTACCAGAGCTGAGCCAAAAAGTTGAGCACGTTTCTTAGGGACCTTCTAGTCTTAGAGTTATCTCTATGGTTGAACCATACTGATTTCTATGAAATTTTGCATAATTGTTCGCTATGGGCAGTCATTCAAATTTTGTTTCTCTTCCATATAAACCCATTCAAAATGTGCACGACATAGACTGGAACTAACAGGAATTGCGAAATAACCTCGTTTTACCGGAGTAGCTGCCTAGTCAAGTAGTGAGCCAATTTAAAATCGTTAGTTTCGTATTGATTGTTGGTAGCATTGCGCTCGAGCGAGGGTGAAAGCACTGCATAGAAAAATGAGCAAATACACAAACCTTTCTTCTAAGGTTGTAATCTTTGCTATCAAAATCGTTTGAAACATTTACCTTTGCGCGGCAGATGATGCGATTATGTCGGTCTCATAGCGGTCGTATGAGAAAATGGAAGAGTTGCCAGTTTTTCAGATATGTTGTCTTCGCTTTTATCCTACAAGTTTGTCTCAGCCGACAATTTTCTGGTGCTGTGATTAATTGAAAAAATATCGAATACGATTTCTAAGAAACTTTGCATAACTGTTCGCTGTGGGCAATCATATGAATTTGTGCTTGAATTTAGTCATTTGGACTTACGCCTCATATTTCAAAATGATATGAGGCGTAAGTCCAAATGACTAAATTCAAGCACAAATTCATATGATTGCCCACAGCGAACAGTTATGCAAAGTTTCATAGAAATCAGAGAGTCTAAAATCTGATCATTTTGTCAGTTTAAGAGCCTCATGTGTAGGCCTTGTAGGCCCTTTTATCGCCAACCGAGGCCCACGCAAAGCAACAACATCATCGGGAAAGGGAAAGTTTTCCATAAGAAGGGCATAAGAAGGTTTGTTTACAAAAAGCTTCTATGCCATTTTCACATGTTGTTCTTGAGTTGGCGTGGCGAATAATCATCGGATTTAGGGAAAAATCACACATTTAAGTGAACCTAGATGAAAACTGACTGGTGAAGCTTCAGTTCACTACCCAAGTCTGCCGTGCAATTCACCTAACTTCGCTCATTTTGCCAATGCAGCGATGTTCCGTTTTAGGCATCAAACGTTTCCATTTTTAGTAACCCAAAAAATAGATCTGAAACATTCGGATGAAAGTCAAGTAATATTCATTAAATACAGGAAGAAACCGAAGGACTCTATGGACAAATTTTGGGGACTTCAGCGAGGATCCAGAGTATATCCTTGAAGAATTTACACAATTCCGAAAATGGACCTAAATCATGTTGGGATCGAGTCTGAAGTACTGGTACTGGTAGTGGTACTTCGAGAACAAATTCGTCAAGGCTTCGGAAGATCAAGTTCAATGCATTTTGACAGCAAAATTCATTATTATATTCATCCATGACCATCAGATGACCATCACAATGAGTTTGATACAGTATTTCAATCAACAGATTGAGAATAGTTCGATAGCAATTTTAATTAATTTCCATAAAATATCTACGGCATAGATTGATATAAAATTTGTACAGGCTTTAAAGACAATCCCAGAAAACATGTCATGAATCATCCAAATTTGCTGATCTATGTAGTAATTATATTTATTTGAAAACCAGTAATGGATGCACGATAGCTCTCTAATGTCTCGCAAAATTTACTCAGCGAATTTTTTTTAATTTTGCAAAAAATGCAAAACTGGCTCAGAGCATTTTCTTTTGAAGTCCTTGATGTTGATTTTTAAGTGATTTGAACTTTTCTTTAAGCTTTCCGGGATTGATTACCGGGATTCTGTTTCAGAAAGGCGTAGTGTAGTAGTGTAAGTAATTGGTTAAGGACAGGCTTGTAGCCAAATTTACAAGATGAATCCCCTGTAGATGAATTTAGAATTGCCACTCATTCACAAAAAAAAACTAGCAATGGTTTTTTTTTTTTTTTTTAGTCACTTTAACACTCTTGGGTCATTCGTGACTTGTCCGGGGGTGAGATTTGAACTCGTGACTTTGGCGTGAGAGGTATGGATGCTAACCACTACGCCGGGGTCGCCCCCACTAGCAATTGTGTCTTTTTAAATAATGCATACAACGCTCATTGAAGACTAAAAACGAGAAACTTTAAGAACAAACGCTTGATATCTACTAAAACGTTACACAGTTATTATGATTTATATGCAGATTGGGGTCATACTGAATAAAATTAAGCTAAAACAAGGGTGCATATCGAGCTACGAAGGTAATTTTAAGAAATTTGCAAGGGATTGTGAGGTCTGCTTTGTCGAGCTAAGTAGAATATCGTGTAAGAAAGAATTAACTGTATTTTTAGTAAATAATCGCAGCTTCATGCAGTTCATGAATTACTTCCAGTCAAAGATTTTAAGAAAATAAGGTAATCTTTTGAAGATTTTCCAAGCAAGTGTAAATAAAACCCAGGGGTATTCAACAGCTGTCAAACCCACTACATTCAGCATACGAAAAAACTACTGTTCAGTTTTTGAAAATTGAAGCCCTTCACCTTAAACCTGCATGTCTTAAATTAGAACGTTCCTATGGGTACCTATGGGATCTGTTGTTTTGGTACAAAACCATAATATCAGAATATTATTCTGATTCAATGGAAAAAATAACAGGTAGCATCGATATTCCATTAACATGAAGGTTTAAAAATGTGCCTCAGTAATAGCCCCTGGATCAAACCCTGGCGAACTCATCAAAGAAAAAATCTTAAAATATTGCTCCATGGTAATGCTTGAGTTCAAGGAAACGCTTTTTCAAACCATTTTAATAGTGTGATTAATTGAGCATATTGTTCCAAAAATGCCTACACCATTTATGTTCCATCATCCATCCGTATAATGATTAATGAAACATGATTTAAGGATCAACGTATATTTGTTGAAATACCTTGACAAAGTGTAAATAATTACAAATAACCAAACAACAGTATGTAGTTCACATTGACACATAAATCAACTCGTAAACAAGAATGTTCAACCTATAGTTGACATCTCTCACGAATATGTCCTATCTCACCACAACAGAAAAAAAAAAGAAAAAACTCAAAGCAATATGATCAACATCAATAACAAAATAACAACTCGTCTATCGCTACCAACCGCCCACCACCCACCCAACACCCGCTGTGCTCCCGTCGCTGCACACATCCACATGTGAAACGCCACTTTCCTTCAATCAGGCAGCAAAAGTAGCAACAACAACGACAACGACAACATCAGTACCTAGCAGCCGCACGTTGATCCGTCGTCTCCTGTGTGTATTTGAAAAGGGCACCGAAAGAATCACGTTCCAACCGAAAAGCAGCAGCTAGCTTAGAATTTCCACTAACCGAGTTTTTCACGTTCTTCATTTTCTCGCCATCGCACTCTCTCCCATCGGTTCACCAGTATCTTCCCTCTCGGAACCACTTGCCCATCTCAGTTGCTCTCTCGCTGTTCAACAACAGCACCCGTAGAATTTTCAATCACCCTTCTCACTCGCACACATGAACACTCACCAACTCACCAAGGAGAGGAAAAACTTGCTACCACTGTCAAAAGCAGAAGAAAATGACTACCTACTATATGTTTTATTTTTTCTTCCCTTCACAAACTTGGCCAAAAACTTCCACGCCCGAATTCACACTCGGTCCTCGCAACACGGTCCAACGCCCGGGAAATGCACCGTCCTCGATGATCACCGATGGTTAGGTGGAGAACACTCCTGCCTTCAAAGGTGCACTTTTTTCCCCGAGAACACACGCACACGCGAGATAAACACACCGAGCGCGGCCTGCTGCTTCTGGCCTCCTCCAGTTCGAGTGTGGTGGGTAGGAAAATTCGCGGCGTTCGACGACCGACCGACCAACTAGGACGATTCGAAAGAGGCAGAATGATGAAAATTCACTCGTCGTCGTCTTTGGTCGTGGTTCACCGGGTTCACCCAGCACGGCTGTCAAAATTGCTTTCCCATGCACACTCACTGCGTTGTGTTTATCGTCGTTCGTTTGTTTGCCTATCAAAGAATCATCCAATTCAAGCAATTCCAAACTCTTCACTGTGTGAGGCGTGCAACGTTCCGCGTGTTGGGAGTGAGTAAAAGAAGCATGTCTTATTATTATCGCCTGAGCATGTATTGTGTGCTGCAAATGAACGCGCTGATGAGCAGTGAATGCTTGGGGCTTTGACAAGTGCAAGTGAGCTGCTTGTTGAAGGTTGATAACAAGAGAAAGGGCAGTTTGTACATCGCTCACTGTGGGGAGCATTCGGAATTTCAGTTTAATTAATCGGTGAGAAAATGTCGTTAACTAGAAGCATCCTCCAAAATTTGAAAATCTCCATTGATTTAAAAATTCCGGAGAATGGAGACGCATGGTATTTAATGAGACTTTTAAAGGAAATATTATTCAATTATAGAGTTAAATTTATCTTTCTCGAAAAAGAGTAATTTTAGCACCATTGCACAATGAAATGAAACTACACGGTTAGCCGACACAATTATCAGATCTAAATTAATTTGATAAATTTGTTAACCAAAACGGTTTGCAAACGCCAAGTTTCCAACAAAAATAAACTCTTTAAAGTCCTTGAAAAAAGAATTTTCAACTTTTTTGAGCACTTTTTATACGATAGTAAAAAATATATAAACAATATATATTTTTTATTTTGCAGATCAAAAGTATATTAAAAACTAATGGCAAAACTAAATTTTTATACCATTCTAATAAATCAAACCTCCCCCGCTCATTCCGCCACGAAAACCTCCATCTCCAACGCCTGTTTACCATTCCGGGTCAGCAGATTCATTCCACCACGGTTCACCATCAAATAGTCCAACCCCTTGCTCAGAAATGTCTTCGGTAGCAAAAAATCCTTAAAGTCCCGAACCTGCATCCGACAACCTCTCACGTTGATCCGCTCCGAATCGCTGATGGTCAAGTCCCCGTACACCGGTCGGGTCACGCTCGGACCAATCAGCCACAGTACAAAGATATCCTTCTCCGGGTCGGATCCATCCTGTGCAGCTTCCCGTCTCTGGCAGATGTCGTTGTAGATCTCCGCCGGTATCTCATCGTCTGCCAACATATCCGTCAGGTGAGTCTTGCAACCCATGACCAGTACCGGAAAATGATTCTCGTAGACAAGGTTGTTTGACGAAAGGATGGAGTTCCTTTGGGAAAATCCCATTTGAGTTGGTCTGGACCGTTCATCTTTTCCGCCGTACAGCACAAGACCCATACAAATTGGTTGACCATGTGGAAAGATGGACTCCTGGAAGGAAAGGACGGCTTTCTCACCGGCTTCCACTGGCTTCAGGTCAATGTTCTTATGTTCGGTCAGCAGGTGATCCAGGAGAGCCGTTTCCGAAAGCACCGTGGGACAACGGATGATGGGACACTTCGAGGGGTTACGTGTTGACGGTTTGGGTTCGGATTGGTTTTGCATCGTGCTGGGGATGTTGTTACTGCATGGAATGATGGTTTGCGGAGTCAATGTTTGCTTGGATTAATTTGGAAGGCAGCTTTAGCTTTATGAGCTTTCGTGAACCTGAAGCAATTTGTTCAATTTGCTTTTAACGTAGGAGTACGTCTTTCGGCAACATATTGGGGGTGCAATTCCAACAAAAAAAAACAAAATCGACCGCCTTACGAATCAGCTAAAATGAACACCTAATCAATTTTCAATAGGTGACTATTGAAAATTACACAAATATCCAACAATGGTGATAAAAATGATCACAGATTGCCTGATAAAAAGTGGTTTCCCTAACACAGTGGTCAAATATTGATACCGAGTACATAAATGTACGGTCGTGTCTTGGATACAACCTCTTACTTTTTTGCAACAGGAAAGCTGCTCCTATAGGAAAGATTGAAAGACTTCGTGGGATGTTTAAAGCTTTCCTCGATTTTCCTCAAATTTCTGCTTGATTATTCATTAGGAAAATTTAGGAAATTTCAAGCAGTCTACACTCAAAAAATGGATCACATATCTAATGAATGAAATCCATGTGGATTTCACATAGCTTTCCTGTGATCATATAGCTGCAAATCCCACCACAAAATAACATGAATGTTAGGAGGCCGATGAAATTAATACGAAAAATCATATAAAATTCACTTTGTGACTTTCTCATTATTTTATATTTTTTTATTTTTTATTTGCTAACAATTACTTGATTGAGCCAATATTTTGTAAAGTTCGGTATAAGCTTTAAAATGGTTATCAAGTAAGAAACTGATCAACATCAAGTCAAACGGTCGAATTCCCTCAGACACGTTTGTAGTAGATAGAGTTAGTCCCAACAAACAATCGTCTATTGAAGAAACGACTTCTTGGCCATTTTATTCAACTGCATGCTTAATAGTACTTGTACTATTTTTAATAATAACTTCTGTTCAGGCTTTGTTCACACAAATCTGGAGAATTTATTCAACCACAACATTGAACTACTGGTGTTGTATAAGGTATGTCGAGAAGCTTTTATTCGACTTATATGAGTTGTAACAGAGTTTATACGATAAAATTTTTGATTATTCAGCGTTTATTAGACATCACTGCTTCTCCTTAAAACAGTAATGCTCTGTATACGCTTGATTCTCATGTGAAGTAACGTTTAATTAGACATTATTATACATTTATTAAACGATTATTCAACTGTGGGAAAATTAACCCGAAAATAAGAGGACAGGGTGAACAGGGACAAGGGAAGGGTGTGTGTGTTTCTTAAGTGTATTGTATTTCAATATTTCTGACGTGGCTCGCACCACACAGATATTAGAAACTTTATTAAATACTTATACATGCCGTTGTATGGGAATCTAACCATGTACCTTCCGATCACCAGCCGCTTGCCTTGTCATCTGAGTTATCCTAGAATTCATCATATGGGCAACTCAATAATCTATAAAAGCTTGCATGAAAGTAAATACCTATCAGCACTCCCGATCGCAACTCTAGCTCCTTCAAGGCCCTGTGGGAATGATTAATTCATTCATCATTGTTTTAAATGAGACCGATGTTGCCTCTTCACATCTCCAAGTCGAAAGAAAGGATGCTCGGTTATATTTTAAACTAGATCAATGCATTCATTATCGTGAGTCATGTGATCGATGATTACTATTTAAATTAATTATGTTCTACACAAATAAAAAAAAAGGGTTGAGCTTGGGATTGAACTCACGACCTTCTAATTGGAAAGCAAAAACGGTAACCACTACTCTACTGATTTCGCCTTGTTGTAAGACTGAATCAGTGTTATCGAATAATGAATCTAATACGTCGTTTATAAAGCATTTACAAATCATGTGATTACAACATGGAATCATAGTGGTAAAAGAGCTATTATGCTGACTGTATTCACCTTTATTCAGCAATATTGTAAAGTAATGCAATGAAATCTAATAAAGGAGCTGGAGAACATTTATTAAACGTCTAATAAAGCATGTTATTAAATCAATTGAAAACAGTCGAATTAAAGTGTCAATGTATGTACAAATTACACTTATTCAGTTTTTTATTAGATCGAACTTTTGGCGTTGAATTGGGAAGACATTTAACACTTTTACAGCTTTTAATAAGTAAATTAATCAGATCAGAGCATTGGAACAATGAGCTTTTTCAGCACATAATTCGACAACTCTTTTTATTCAGCATTGTACACTGTTATACAGCATTTATTCAATATATATATATCCTTATTTGTGACTTTGAATTGTTTGTTGGGTGGTATAAGAGCTATTTTGCTGAGTGTATTCACCTTTATACAGTAATATTGTAAAGCAATGCAATGAAATCTAATAATGAAGCTAGAAAACATTTATAAGACGTTTAATAAAGCATTTTATTCAATCATTTGAAAACAGTCGAATAAAAGCGACAATGTATGTGCAAATTACACTTATTCAGTTTGTTATTAGATCAAACTTCTGGTTCTGAATAAGGAAGACAGTCAACGTTTATAAAGCTTTTAATAAGAAAATTAATCATATCAGAGCAAACGGCGCATCTATCGATCTCAATGAGCTTTTTTCAGCACATAATTCGACATCCTGTTTTATTCAGCATTGTACACTGTTATACAGCATTTATTCAATGTGTATGCTTATTTGTGACTTTGAATTGTTTGTTGGGGTGTTGAATAAATAATGAGTAGAATCGAGTGAGCGTGAAGCGTGATAGTCCGTATGTAAACGGAATCTCATTGGTTAGAGAATTTTGATAGGTTAGCAGGTATAAATATGAAGAACCTAAGCTCGTTGAAGTCATGGGCATTCTCTGCTTGATCGTCAAGCAGTTTAGTTCGGTGTTAGCTCGCTCTCTCGAGTTGTTTGAAAAGTTCATTGCGATAGTGTTCGTGTTCTCTCTTTCGCGGTTTGTCGTGCGTGTGTGTGTGCCCCGTAATGGGGAAGCATCGGTCGCGAAGCCCGGCGAAGGTCCAGAACCCCGGAGAAGGAAGCTCCGGTGTGCCTACCTCGAACAGGTTTGCTGTTCTCCCCATGGATGGGAATATCCAGCCAGCTGTGTTGGAAAAACGCAGTAAGAAGAGGAAGAAGAATCGAGGCCAGTCCGATGTCACTGCGACGAACAACAGCGATGTTGGAGATTCGCGATGTGACTCAGTGCCAGCGGTGTCTGAACTTCGGACACGGTACCCGCAACTGCAACATTAAGCCACGCTGCGGAAATTGCGCTCAAGACCATGCCACCTCTGAATGTGCTGCGGATGAAGCTGTGGCGTCCAAATGCGCCAACTGTGGTGGTGCTCACCAAGGATCCAACAAGCAGTGCCCTAAACGCGAGGATTTCAAGCGCATCCGAAATCAAGCGTCCACCAACAATCAACCAGCACGAAGGAAGGATAAGGCCCCGGCTTTCAGGACAGAGGACTTTCCACCTCTTCGTGGACAAGCGAATGCCAGGGTGCGATCCGCGCCCCCTCAAGAAACGTCTGGATCTTCTGCTGGACAAAGCTCTCCATCCCCCCCTGGATTCTGGAGGCAACCAACAGCTCAAACAAACAATCCCGATCTGTTCTCAGCAGACGAACTGATGGAGATTTTTATCAACATGACCGGTGCTCTACGTAAGTGCCGCAATAAGCCCGAACAGATCCAAATGCTCGGTAAGTTCATCATCCAATATGGTGTCTAAACCGCTAACCATCGCTACCTGGAACGCTTGCTCTGTAAGAGCTAAACAGATTGAGCTTGCCGACTTCCTCCGCAAGCATAGCATCGACGTGGGTCTTCTAACCGAAACCCACCTAAAGTTCGGTGACAGCTTCTGGTTGCCTGACCACAACATTATCCGGCTTGATCGCACCAGCTCCAGGGGGGGTGGTGTAGCGGTCATCGTCAGAAAGGGAATCAAGTTTTGCACTCTGCCCCACATCCGCACTTCTATCATCGAGGCCATTAGTGTGGAGGTGGAATCACCAACTGGAAACGTCCGGTTCATCGCTGTTTACTGCCCACGCCAGTGTACCGCAAGCAACGGATTAGGAATCCAATTCAAGAAGGACCTGACCGCCATCACCCGTACTAGCTCCCGATTCATCGTTGGGGGCGACCTGAACGCCCGCCATGAAGCTTGGCGGAACTACCAGAGGAATCGAAACGGATGTCTATTGTTCGACCACGCACAACATGGACTGTACACAGTGCAATTTCCGGACGAGCCAACTTTCATCTCTCCAGCGGGAAATCCCTCCACGCTAGACTTTTTCCTGTCAAACATCGGACTATCCAAGCCGGAGGCGCACAACGATCTCAGCTCCGACCACCAACCGGTGGTGACTGAAGTCGGTGTCAACGTGGTTCCTGCTAGAGGCTGCCTGCGTAAAGACTACCACCATGTCAACTGGGTGCAGTACGGTCGAATGGTGGACAGCAACATCGATGAAAATCCACTGCTCGACACCGTAGATGACATCGACCGGGCGTTGGAAGGACTCCAACAGGCCATATCCGAGGCTGACGAGACATGCGTTCGACAAGTTCCTGTGAGGGGTAAGTTTGTTGCTATTGATTCCCACACCCAATTATTGATTCGATTGAGAAATGTGCGTAGACGCCAGTTTCAGAGGACTGGAGACCTGGGCAAAAAACGTGAAATGGCCGATCTGAACAGGCAGATTGCTTCCAGAATGGACTCACTCCGAAATGAAAGTTTCGGGCGTGTTGTCCAGAATCTGGACGACCGCTCCAGACCATTCTGGAAGGTAGCCAAGGTCCTGAAAAATCATCCCAAACCCGTTCCACCTCTCAAAGTCGAAAATGATGACGATCGGCTTTTAATCACCCCACAGGAGAAAGCAAATGCGATCGGCGAGCATGTCGCTTCATCGCATTTGCTTGGCTCGACTATCCAAAGTCCGCTCGATGATCAGGTTGCGCAATGCGTTCAAAACCTAGATGCCTCCCCTTGTGTCGTGCCTCCGGCGG